CTGCTTGCTCCAGGAAGCGGTCTCGTTGAACGACGGGATCGTTCAACTCTGTGTAGGCATTGCACAGCTCCTTGGTCATACAGAAGAGTTCGAAGCGCTCTGTGAGACCAGGACGCGACCGGTGCCATTTGGCCAGGGGGCTCATTACTTCCGGATGATTGATGATGAAGGTGGGATTGAGACATTGGGTTTCTACGCGTTCACCAACAAGCTGGAGATACAAGCGCACAACATAAAGAAGTCAGTGAGGGCAAGGGAAAGTAGAAACCGCGGTTTTGGGTACAAAAAGGCGCATTTATGGAGAAACGGCTGAATGAAGATGTTATGTTGACTCGACCGTCGTGACTAGCGATTTCCACCGCTTGATGCCCGCTTTCGGTTTCGGCGACAGTGGGAACTGCATGTAAGTAGGCTGATTTCATTTTTGTGGAAATGGATCACACAAGAACAAAAAAGCGCAAGTAACGTCTCACCACCATCCAATGTTAATAACCATCTGCACATGCAACTACACGATCACCATTAACAAAAGTCTGGGAAAGTGGAAATTCGTGGACTCCGACAGCCCACCCGCAAAAAATGATGCAGATGTGCGATAAAAAGTAGCAGTTTGTCCGTCGCAAGTTACGCAGTCTCATGTCCCGAGGCGACAGTTGTGTGATTTGAACAAGACATCCCACCGCATCTCTGCGGATCGAACCCGCGGACTGTTGGCCCAAAGTCTAACGCTCTAACCATGGAATCACGGGCTATGTGTTCTGTCGGTGATCGCTAATCTACAACTGGCCCGTGGCTCAATGATTGGAATGTTAGACTTCTAGGCAAGAGGTCAAGGGTTCGATCCTCAGATGTTACAACACCTGTGGAGGGCTGTGGCTACTAAGCCAGAAATTGACATTCCAGTCTTCCTCATTGTTGTCGCTAATGTTTTGAAGCCAAGTGATTAGCGGCCTAGCAAAACAGGTCTGAACCACGAAGATGAGTTGTTTTAAAGCATGCGTGCGAGGCATACACGGGTACAAAACGAGCATAAGTTAGCTTACGTTGCTGGTAGCGTCTGTTAAGGAGGCAGGAGTTGGTGAAGTTGTGCGTATAAAAACAAACTACTAAATATATGTACCTTGTCCAGAAGACGGGCGGTGGATCGCGGTTCTCCACAAACAACTCCAAAGCGATCAGCGATTGCTGATAGTTTTAATCGAGCAGCCTCGGTAAGCAGCTCCTCGGCGGGAGGGAACTCCGCATCATAGGCCGCCTTTAGGGCGTCGTAGAGGTCAATCCGCTTGAAGGGCGGAGTGAAGTCGATGGTGACGGTGGAGTCGGCACCCTCTGGCTTGTAGTCAATCTTATAGCTTCCAAAAAGCATCTTCACCAGACCTG